CTTCTTGGCTATTGTTTCTGTCATCTGCATTTTCATCACTTTCATCTCAATTAGCTTGAAGAGCCTTCTTCTTGAATTTTTTTTTTTTTTTTGTTTTTCTTTTTTTTTTTTTTTTTTTACTCCAATCTCTTTTTGTAACCGTTTGTAGAGAAATACATGGATGGGATTACAATTACCTAAACTCTAAACTAAAGCGACCGCGTGCATGGACAAGACTGCTTAATGGAATCTTGGGTTGATTTTCGTCTAAAAGGACCCATCTTCACTAAATTAGAAGTTTGGGATCTGAAAATAAGAAATTGAATGGAGACTCAAGTGATCTAGAGATAAATTATAGGGATTGTGGCTGCAATGTTTGTTTTAAATTCTATCAAGTCCCAGAGCCCCAATTATTATTATTATTTTGGAAAATACGAGATTAAAAAGTGGGAAAATATTCTGAGATCTCAATTGAAAAAGCAAATAAGAAAAAATCTAGTTATGCTCCTATATTACTTTTGCATTGTTTTTTTTTTACCCTTTCTATATTCAACCTTTCATAATTTTCTTCAATACCTCTTCGTCGGTATGAAAGGATGGATCCAAGATTTCCTTGACTTGTGATTATATTTTATTGAAAGAATATGTGACTAAAATGAGTTTAAAAAATTGAATTTTAAAGAATTTGTACCAAACATGAGTAAAGTGTGCAGTTTTATGAGACACGGACATGTGCTTGACTCGTGACTGTTCAACGCAACCAAACGAAACGCGTCCCACAATCCACACGTACCTGTCGACCTGAGAGGAAAACATTTGTTTTACTCGAAAAATTATTATTCTAATCGAATAACAACACATATCACTCATCTTCCTAGAAAATACAGCGAATATCTGAATCCCCTCTATTAAAGGAGTGGACAGCCTCAGCCATCTCAACGTCCGCTTATCCCTTTGCTATTATCAACAGAAATTTGAGTTCTTTTACGCAATAATTTTGAGATACAGAATATATATTTTCAAGAATTGTCCCCTCAGCCAGATTTCTGTTTATCATAACGGTTTAAACAGAACAGAGCTTCAATAAAATTGCGAATTTCTCTTTTATTTGTATTCTTGGAAGACAATTATTTCATTTACCATGCAAATCAAGAAATTGGTTTCTTTGCCATCTCGTACGGGAAGACATTTGCAGCGCTATAATCAGGGCTATCGCCTTGTTGTTGGGTATGAAATTTTCAATTTTTTTAACCTTCTCCCTTTTTTCTGATTTTAATGACCTTTTTTTGGCTGAAAATTGCCCTGATTTTCTATTTTATTTGCAAACTCTGCAGATGTATTCCATACAGAATCAGGAAAACTCACAAATCATCCCCATATGAATTAGAAGTTCTTATGATCAGTTCTCAAAAGAGTTCAAGAATGATGTTCCCTAAGGTATTTTTGTTATTCACATCCTTTTATTTTGGAATATCGAATGGAAATAATACTAGTAATTAATGGCTTAATTATGTTGTTGACATTATTAATTTTGCTGTGGAAATATTAGGGTGGTTGGGAAATTGACGAGGATATAGAATTAGCAGCTTCACGTGAAACCCTGGAAGAAGCTGGTGTGATCGGCTCGCTCGGGGTCAGTATCTCTTCTTCTCGTTGAATCAGATGTGCTTCTTCTTGGTCATGATTTTATGTCATTTTCTAATTCTGTTGGGTTCCCTTTGTTTCTTGCAGGATAAATTAGGTGAATGGATTTTTAAAAGCAAAAGACAAGACAAGTTTCATGAGGGATCCATGTTTTCCCTGTTAGTGACCGAGGAATTAGATGTTTGGCCAGAGAAAAATGTCCGTCAACGGAAATGGGTATGTCCAAATATCGAACTTTCTGTTCAGAAGTTGTCTCGACAGAAATGTTTAATGCAATAGTATTAACGAATGAGTTCTGATATCATATTGAATTTAACTCCACAGATGACGGTTGATGAAGCTAGAGAAGTGTGTGCACATTC